AATTTTTTTTTTGTTTGTGGGGGGGGGGGGGGGGGGGGGGTCTGGTGTTAAACGAATTCTGAGAAGTAAAAAGTACCATCAAATTGTTTGACTGTTGTCTCCTCCCTTGCTTTTGGCATCTCATTGGTCTGTTGAATCGTTCCAGACAGCACATGCGATTTCATTGGTTCTGTTGGCTGGTTGCCAGAGTTTTAATCCACCCCAAATATGACTTGACAACTTTCAGATATATGATTGGACCTACAATTTGCTGTGACAATTCTGTATCCCAGCTGCACTCCCTGTCTGGCTATTAAATTCTGTGCTGTCGAGAGAAATCAAACAGACTCTTGAGCTGTGGGCAACAGAAAGAGGCTGTCAGATTGATCAGATGCAGGTCTCGGTGTGTGATCATGTGGCCCTTGGTCCAGGGGGAGGTTTTATGTTGCATAGTGATCAAAACTGCCCAGGTATTCCAGCCCTGCACGATAGCAGAACTGGTACTGCTCCTGTGGAGGGCGCACACACACACACACACACACATCATTTGTGCCGAATAGCAGAGTGCTGATCAGTATACATCTGAAAACTGTTCAGTAAAAAAAATGAAAGTAAATTCAACTTTGTACATTTTTGTTAGATAGAAAGCCATAATTATGATTAATAAAATCACAGTTTTATATGCGATATGAAAGAAACAATTATGCAAAATAGTCACAATTCTGTGATAGTTGTAAGATGTGAAGTTACAAATACGCTAAATAATATGTGACCCTGGAGCACAAAACCAGTCTTAAGTCGCTGGGGTATATTTGTAGCAATAACCAAAAATACATTGTATGGGTCAAAATTATCGATTTTTCTTTTATGTCAAAAATCATTAGGATATTAAGTAAAGATCATGTTCCATGAAGATATTTAGTAAATTTCCTACCGTAAATATATCAAAACTTAATTTTTGATTAGTAATATGCATTGCTAAGAACTTCATTTGGACAACTTTAAAGGTGATTTTCTCAATATTTAGATTTTTTTGCACCCTCAGATTCCAGATTTTCAAATAGTTGTATCTCGGCCAAATATTATCCTATCCCAATTTTAAAAAAATTACACTTAAGACTGGTTTTGTGGTCCAGGTTCACATATCACATTTACTAGAAAGTCAATTTTGGGATATAAAGTCATAATGACAAGTAATAAAGTCACAGTTATAAGAAATAGTCAATTATGAAACAAAGTCATAATAACGATTAATAAAGTCACAACTGTAAGAATTAGTCAATTATGAAATGTTATGAAAAGTCACAATAATGAGAAATATATTCATAATTATTAGAAATAAGGTTGTAATTATGAAATATAAAGTCACAGTAAAAAAGTTATGAACTATAAAATAAAAACAATAAACTGTAACATTTGTGAGAAATAGTTGCAATTCTGAGATATGAAGTAACAATAACAAGTAATAAATCACAACTAAGAAATAAAGTCAGTCATAAGATAAAGATAAGATGAAGTCACAGTTGCAATTCTGTCAGGACCACTATCGTCAAAGATGATTGACAATTAGCATACAGTTTGGATTGGCGGTATGGTTCTATTCTGGGCAAGAACTCCCTGCGCATCCATGCAGCCTAGCATGGATGAGAGCAGGGAGAGCAGCGATACCCAGAACAGAACCAACATAAATGTATTGCAGATATCGTTAAAGTTCAATAATTTTATGTACACATTTTAGAATTAGTCTGATTCAAAGGATAATCAGAAGGCTGAATCCTGACTGACAGAGGAGGAGCTGGGGATGGAGGAGGGTAATTAGCTATTGAGCAATGAGAAAACTGCTGATAATACTGAGGGACCTTATATATGAATGCTTAGATAGGTGTTCTATATATGATATATATATGATAGTATATTCCTATAGGTAGATGGAGATCAGCTGAGAGTCAGCTAATGCGAGCTTGACTAACGTGACCTGCCAGAACTAACGCTACGCTAGATTTGTGAGAATAAAGTCACAAAAACAAGTAATAAAGTCATAATTTTAAGAAATAAAGTCGATGAGGAGATATAAAACCACAAATGAGAAATAATTCCAATTGTGAGCTATAAACTCAGAGAAATGGAGAAATAATGAAAATTATGATAAAGTCAGCTGTAAGAAATAAAGTCATTCACCACAACTGTGAGATATAAAGTCAGAATAATGAGTAATAAAGCCACAGTTGTAAGAAATAAATTGAGAAATAAAGTCACAATAACGAGAAACACATGACATGCTGCTGCCTGAGCCAGTGTTTCAACAGAGCAATGCTGAAAGCATTATTGACACACTTTTATGGAGAATCAACCTACAAATGGCTTTGCATGTTTAGCTCCGAAATATTTTAGCATTTGAAAAATTGTTAACTTGTACTAGTGTAAATCAATTCTGGAACTCAGAGTAGTAGAAGTAGAAAGACATGAGTACTGCATCATGCATCATGTGGGTTGCAGTGTGCAAGCTTACCTCCGTCTGCACCATGGCTGGTCTTTGAGTGCGCAACATTTTGACAGTCTGGAAGATGTCGACCACTCCTTCATAACGCATCCTCTCCAACACTATACTCAGAGTGATAAATACACCTGTCCTCCCAACGCCAGCGCTGCACAAACGCATCACAGAAAATAGTACATCGAGCGATACATTAAGTACAATACTGTGAATTAATTCATTTTATTTCAGGACTTGACTCTGAGTGGCATTATGAATCATTACTTTTTTTTTGTTAAACTGTAACTGTAAGCATATAATGAAATCATTTTGATTCAAATCTATACATTTCATTTTTTATTTAGTTGGTAGCTAACTTTGCAATAAGAAGTAGAAGTAGGCAGTAATTATCACAAAATAAACCCTTTGTCAACTGCTTTCATAAATCAGTCTCTTGCTGAAGACGGACTACTAAACTGAACACTTAACATGAAAAAAGGTTGAAAAACATTGTAAATTCCTTTCTCTACCTGCAGTGTACTGTGATGGGCCCATCCTGACCAAACTGCTCTTTTGTTTTGTGCACTTGACCGATGAAATCAATGAAGCCTTCACCAGATTTTGGCACGCCCTGCTCTGGCCAATCCGTGAACTGAAACTGCCGGACTGTTCTAGACTGACCGTCCTAGTAGAGAGACACATCGTGAGAGACAGACAGTGGCAGCATTTCAACCAGAGTTAATAAAGAAGTAATAAAAACCATGGAATTGTATTAAACTTTCATGACATTTCTAACTAAGAAGTAATTTCTAATTTGCCAGCTAATGTGTTTCAAGCATTATATAATACAGTGATATTAGCTAATGTTTTGAATGAAAGTTTAATAAAGCGTAATTGAGAAAACCTCGCTTTTTTTTATGCTGGGGGTCTCTGGTCTGTAAAAGTTGGAAAACCCCGTGCTAATGAATAATGCAGATCAATCGTTTTGACTGAATCATTCAAAAGAACCAACTCAAAGCATCTAACAGCACTAATGCAAGTTATACATAAAAGCAATAAAAGCCAATTGGAAATATTTTAATGGCCAGATTTTTCATTGCAGTTGGAAAAACTATATAAGTTTCCATTACTTTTTCAGAATGGAAAAAAAAATGACTTTACAAAACGGATAGTTCCGGTCCTTGATTCTGATTGGTTGAGCCACGTTCGAAGTTGTTGTAGATTACTCTAAACAAAATTAACGACTTTATTCCACATTTTCGTCTCTACTGGGTCACTTGTGGACGGCGTTCACGACAGTATCATGACGTGAGCGTGTGGGGGGATCTGGGTCAGCGCCGCCACATGCTCGCGTCATGATACTGTCGTGAACACGCGTCCAAAGTGATGCAGTAGAGACGAAAATGTGGAATAAAGTCGTTAATTTTGTTTTCTTTGCACAAAAAAAGTATTCTCGTTACTTTGTAACTTTACAGTTGAACCACTGATGTCACACGGACTACTTTGTCGATCATCTTGATACTTTTCTGGACCTTGAACGTGGTAGTTACCTTGCGGTCTATGGGAGGGTCAGAGAGCCCTCAGATTTCATCAAAAATATCTTAAATTGTGTTCCGAAGATGAACGAAGGTCTTACGGGTTTGGAACAACACGAGGGTGAGTAATTAATGACAGAATTTTTGGGTGAACTAACCCTTTAACATCTGTGTGTTGCTCGGCAACCACTTTGTTGCAGCCACAACCGTTTCTGAGGAACTACATTGTTTGGCGGAAGAATAATGTTTTTATTAATATCATTACACTTTATTTGCTCTGTTTTATTTTGTGAAACCTTACTACGTATATGGAATAACCGTTGTATAAAAGCAATAAGCCCAGTGAAGCCGTGGTTTACAGTGAATTTATAACAGCTATTATAAATTCACTGTAAACCACGGCTTCTTGGGGCTTATTGCTTTAGTATATTTCCTGTTTTTTCATGAGCATGGTAAGCCTAATGGTTTTAATGAGTGTTTAATATACCCTTGCGTCTGTGACTTTAAACTCTCGCAGTATATACTGAGGCATGTTGTACTCCGCCATTGGATCCACCACGAAGTACTGATAGCGTGCTGACCTGTCAGATGGCCAGTACTGATGACATTTCTCCTGCATAAGAAAAAAAAACGATCGTTATCTGAAACTCAAATTATTTAAAACATTTTGTTAATTGAATTGAAGCTGAAATAAAATGGAAAACTGAATAAATAAAAATGGAAATTAAATGAAAATTAGAAACGTTGCCTTGGCTACCTAAAGCTGAACCACTAAAAAATAGAATCGGGTTCTAAGTAAAAAGTAAAACTAAGATTAAATAAAACTCAATTAAACCCAAAGATTAATATTTAAAAAGAACAAAAAAATAGCAGATAAAATTAAACTAAAATTAAAATGAAAACTGAAAATAAAAATAAATGCTAATATAAAATATTTATAAAAACTATAATAGTATATATATATACTAAAGTAACACTGATTAGCATTCATATCACTTTACAATAAACAATTACGTGTGTGTGTGTGTGAACTAACCCTTCCCATTTCTCGGAGTTTAGTAAGCATAACTACTATAGTAGAATTGTGTTCCCAAAGCATCCGCCAGTAATCTTCAACTGTCTCAGCCAGCGGCCCCTGAGTCGCAATATACGCCCTCTGTTGCCTAGAGTGATGAGAAGGAAATGAAAACTTCAAGAACTGAGAATTTCACCAGCTTACTTACAAATGTTGATGTTTCAGTGGCTTGTTTTGTCGATGCATTCTTTTATTTCTACTAATACATATAAAAAAAGAGAGATTGCAATGTACCTGTAGCCATCTACAAAACTGCCATTGACATAGTCTGAGCCCTCCACTCCTCTGATTGGTTGCAGACACACACGTGTGGTCTCATATGGCATGATATTGACCAATCGGTTTTTGAACTTATTGCACGGAAGGCTGGCATTGACGAATCGGGAGTTATGAGCTTTGGCATTAGCTAACCGCTGAAAAAGGGATCCAGAAAAAATACATTTTTACATTTTATGAACAGGCACATTAAAAAGCAACATACAACAGGAAATAATACACTTATTTTATATATTATTGTTACAGTTTCAGTTAATTAATTACTGAAAAAAGTAACAAAGTATGTCATATTGTTACTTTTAAATTCACAAATTACATTCGTGGGATGCACTCACTTTAAACTCCTGCTCCATTCCGCTGATGTGCTCCGGCGGTTCCGTCTGTGACAGTCTCTGGATGTAGGCGTAAAGGTTCCGTGCCGGAACCTCTGTGTTGCCACAGGAAACAGCCTCCAGCAGGGCATCATAAATAAAGACGTACTGCTCCTCTGTCTGCACCATGTAGTTTCGCTGAGATCGCATCAGAGTCACGTGACCATAAACATCTATCGTCTTCTCCTGCTTCACACGCTCCAACATGGCATCAATCACAATGAAGCAGCCTGTTCGGCCCACACCAGCACTGAGAGAGATGGAGAGAGTGAGAGAAAGAGAGAGATAAAGAGAAAATGCTTCGGTCACAAGCACTCACATTAGCACATTCCAGCATAAAGGTTGAACTAAAGTTACCGTCATGTGAAAACATTTTTTTTTGTGATTTTCTCTCCCTGAATAGTTTAAAACAGAGCATAAAAACATTATATCAGACAAAAGAAGACTGAGAAACACAAATGATATATATTTTTTATAATTATATATTATATCATATACAGTGGGTACGGAAAGTATTCAGACCCCCTTAAATTTTTTTTTTCTCCTTTCTCCATGCATTTTTCCCTCTCCTGTTATAAATGAAAAATATCCGATAATTCGATTTATTTAATAGAAAAACTTACAATTAACCTATATTGGCCATGTGAAAAAAAGTCAACTAAAATGAGAAAAAGAGAACAATTTAATTCTTGCAATGCTAACAAGCAGCAAATGAAAACAACTGAAAAGAGTTGAGGGGAGCCTTCTCACAGTTTTAAGGCATTTCATGTTTTTCTGGATGTCTTTTGTATTCTCATTAGGGTTGCAAAGGGGTGGAACATTTCCGGTAAATTTCAGGAAACTTTCCAAAAATCCTGGAATGTTTCCGAAATTTACTGGAAATTTTCCACCTTATTGCAACCCTAATTCTCATATGTAATTTCATGTAATTTAACATTTTCCCTGTCTCGGTTCATTTATAAAAAAAATTAGCAATGCATATAGTAATGTTGCTTTGTTGTGTCTAAGCAAAATATAAAAAAAGAACACAAAAAACACCCAGACTCCACAAAAAGCAATGAGTGCATCGACAGAGACAAACAACTGAGCTGCAGCATTTTAGGAGAAAACTATGTGATATAACACCAATTTTACATAGTTAACACTCTCATTAGGGTTGCAAAGGGGTGGAACATTTCCGGTAAATTTCAGGAAACTTTCCAAAAATCCCTGGAATGTTTCCGAAATTTACTGGAAATTTTCCACCTTATTGCAACCCTAATTCTCATATGTAATTTCATGTAATTTAACATTTTCCCTGTCTCGGTTCATTTATAAAAAAAATTAGCAATGCATATAGTAATGTTGCTTTGTTGTGTCTAAGCAAAATATAAAAAAAGAACACAAAAAACACCCAGACTCCACAAAAAGCAATGAGTGCATCGACAGAGACAAACAACTGAGCTGCAGCATTTTAGGAGAAAACTATGTGATATAACACCAATTTTACATAGTTAACACAATCAAGGCCAATGATTCAATACTCCCTACAGAGTAAGAGACATTTCATTGGTACAGGAGTTAACAACTGTTTTTTTTATTTTTTAGAATCTTACCCTTTTATGTCTGACTGGATATAAATGTGTTAACTCAATTCTGTACTAGTTACCTGCAGTGGACCACAATGGGTCCGGCGTCTGGGGGGTTGCAGGCTTTGACCCGTCTGAGGAAGGCCAGGAAGGGAGTGGGGTGTTCAGGTACCCCCTGATCTGGCCATGCTGTAAACTGGAACTGACGAACCTCCCTTTTCTCGCCACTCCCACTCTGCACACAGAAACAACCCAATTCAGCACAGTACATGACCATATACTAGACTACACTAAACTAGACTAGACTAGAATATGTCAGAGAATGCTTCTCATCCAAGCAGCAATATTTTTTTTATTTAGAATATTTCCCACCTAATGTATATGGCCCTCAATATTTAGCACAATAACAGTCACACGCTCACTAATATTTCATCTGCTAAACTTTTTGCAAATATCTGTTCTTTAAGAGGTAGGTTTAAATATGTTTATATTTGTTTGGTTATATTCAGATAATTCATATGCATTGTTTCAAATTTCATCTATTTTTCTCCACTTACAGTAGCTGTACCTGATTTTCACTGATGCTTTGAAGCATATTCACTACTCGACATAGTTCAGAGCATTGTTTTTTATATGTTTACATTCATTTTGTTGCACTAAAACATTTAAATGCATAATTATGTCACTACATAGTTTATTTGGGTAGCACTTTATTTTGCTAGTAGACATTCTGACAATCTTTACTCGAGTGAGGCCTATTTCATGAACTTGTCAAGGGTTTATATATTGTGTTTATTTGCTTTGTTACCTTAAAAAGAGCAAAAGTCCTGACGCAGTAGGTTGCGAGCTCCACCGTGTCCAGTAAAGTGACTTGCATCAATCCGTATGTCTCTGTGCCTCTGCTGGGCCAGTACTGATCACATTTATTCTGCACACAGTTCAGCAGACACTTAGTAAACGTCTCACTGTCAAAGAAAACGTTAGAGGAGAGCTGAAGAACCAGCTGAGATTAACAGTCAGCTGCTCTTCAGCCTGGCTGCTTTCCATCAATAGCAGTACTCAAATGGCTATGTGTCGGTCCGCTCCCTAGTTCAGCAGTAAGTACACTACCAAGGGAGTGGATTGCCTCATTATCAAAATCTTTCCAATGCACTGAACAGTTCACTCCCTAGAAATGAGCAGAATGCCTTTTAACCTATTTTGAACTAATTCCCATCAAAGGGAAGTAGGGAATAGACTGAGACACACCCTTTGAGAGTACATTTCAGCATGCAGTGATAGTGTGATAAGCAGCCAAAAATTCAAGTTACACTTTGGCAAAATGTGTCTCAGAAGTCAGTGAGGGAAAGAGGAAGTGAGAAGAGACAGATCAGAAAAAGAGCGAGTAGGTGTGAAGAAGGATGAGGCAGAGTTAACAAGGAGGAAAAGAGGTGAGACACGGCATATCAACCATTCAAGTGAAAAGTGAGAGTGGTCTAATTAGCCAAGTGAGACATCTTGCCTTTGAGAAGAAATACGTAGGCATCTGGAGAGTAATAGACAAACAGCATAAGACTTACTCTGCTCCGTAACACCACACAACACTCACTGAGAAATACGGAAAATATCAATGCTGTGATCAAAAAAAGTTAGTATGGTTAGTACGTGTGTGTGTGTTTTTATGAGTTTGATTAAGTGTTGTAGTATTTCAGTAGTTCTGTTCCAAAATCTAGTCGGCTGCCTACCTAGACAGCTTTTCCAAATTTGAATGTAAGAATTTTTGGTTAGTGTAACATTTTTGGTGGGTTGCATAATTGGCCATAGCTTTTGAAAATCGAATTAAAAAAAGACAAAAAGAAGGAATTGATTGCATATAATATATCACTGTAATTGTATAGTGAACATGATGAACAATTAGAAAAGTATCAATCAAAAATGGCAGCAATTTCTGACATGGTTTGAATTTGTTTTATTATATCCTGCATGCTGTCAGAAAAATATCTTATAGAACAGAGAAATCACTCACAGTAACATTAACTTCTCTGTCATGTCTTCACTCGACTATTGTACTTTACATAAGACGGATCACTGACTTCATTCACATTGGTAGTTGCCTAGGGCGACCATATGTCCTCTTTTTCCCGGACATGTCCTGGCCTGGATTTCTAAATTGCCTAAATTGGTTTTGGCTTTGTTTTCCTATTGTTTTCATAAGGTAGTGACTGAAGGTAATGACTGAAAAGTAGTATGACCAATAGTATGCATGCATTGCACATAAGTGACCAATCGTGGCATGCGAGAAGGTAGGATCTACAGAGAACGTCAAAGTAATGCAAATACATCTACACATAATGCATGAGGACATATCACTAGGAAAACAGAGCCAAAACCCAGACATTTTAGGCAATTTAGAAAAATAGGATCTATGGTCACCTTATAGTCACTCCCATAATGTTGCTGCTCATTTGCAAAAAGTTACAATTTATTTAACTTTGTTCATTCTGTGGACACAGCCACATCCTGTTGCACGTGACCGGAAACCACTAACTTTAATTGAAAGTGAATGGATTTTGTTCAAAGTGAATGTAGCATTGCATACTGCGTATCCATCATAAAAATAAATATAGTTATGAGAGTAAATATGATGTCAAAGGGATTTGACAGGCCTATCTGAAGAGAACATGATGTTAATCGAGAAGTTTTTGTTTTTTATGGATCAAAAGAAGGATGTCCCTCTGCACAAACTGTACACTTCAGTGGTAAGAACTGAATGTACTCATATCCTACTTTAAAGGGGTGGTTCACTGTTTTTTTCCAGGCTTGATTGTGTTTATGGGGTGCAGTCTAACATGTTAATGCTTAGTTTAAAAAAAACAAAACATTATTTTTCACATAATTTACCTTTACTCCACACCGCTCTGTCCCTTCTCTGAGAAACGCGCTGATTCATTGTTGGAGCTGAGCTGAATGAGAGAGAGATGCAGAGCGTGTGCAGAGCAGGGCAACGGGAGGAGCAGTATTGAGAACCGCTGCTTTAGAACACTGATTTTGAAACTTGTGAATCCATTAGTATCCTTAGAAGACAGAATCTTGATTCATATATGAATAGATTTTTACGTGCACCTCTAGTTTTCTCTTCCTCTTCTCTAAAGCAGCACAGCATGTCCTCGCCTCCTTTGCTGCCTTTTCCCGAGGGCGGGGTTTATCTGGGTTTGTGATGTCACGGACCCAGGAAGTAACTGGTTGTAGTCCCTACCAGCTGTTTTTGTAGGCATTAAACTGCCAGAATTTTAAAAGACGATATCTCCGTTTGCATTGAACTTTCAGCTTCGTAACTTTACAGATATTGTTTATGCTCAAACAGCAACATTACACACTAACTAACATTAAAAAAGTGAAATCGCAATCAACCACCACTTTAAGTCAAGTAATTGTTTATTCATTTTTTTTATATATGTGAATAAATGTAATATTTTATAAACAATAAATTGTGTTGAAGTCATTTTTATTTGGTGCTGAAGAAATGCAAAATCTGGGTAGCCCGTAATCTTACATATTAATGGTCAAATTTAATCTTACATGTGATTATTTTTATTAATTAAACAATAGATAAACACAAGATTTGTTTGATTAGGCGTCCATACAGATCATTTTCATGCCGCTTATACTACACTGGGCCGCGATTGTGCTGGATGATTACTGACGTACAGCGGGGTAATCATATCGGAGTAAAGTGGTTAGGGGAACATTATAATAACAAACCAAAAACTAACGTTCTATTTCCATTAAGAAAACATTCCCAGCTAACGAAAAAACAAACCTTAACAAAGTAACGTTCTGGGAACCAAAAACGAATGTTCTGGGAACATTAGATTAAAAGTTCTACAAACCAAAAACGAACGTTCTATTTCTGTTAAGAAAACTTTCCCGGCTAACCAAAAACAAACCATAAAAAATAAAGTTCTGGGAACCAAAAAATAACATTCTGGGAACCAAATATTGTTAGCTGGGTAACAATAGGAGCATGTTTTGAGGAGCTGCTGCTGAGGAATGTGTGCATTTATTTCAAAGTGCTGCCTATATATATACTGTAGACAGGTGACAGCAAGGATGCTTACTAGATGTGTTTCTGTCTGGAAATGTATGACTCGAGTGTGGTCTGTATCTGTATGAGTTAGTGCTCTCACCCTGGATTTCTCCTCAAGTTTGGTGATCATGATGATATTTGCTGTGTGTTGTTCCCACACCAACCTCCACAAGTCACTAAACGTGTCTGGCAAGGGGCCCTGCGTGGCGATGTAAGCGCCCTGTCGGCGGTACCCATCTATGAAGTTGGCGTTGATGTAGTCACCACCTGGAACATCTGCATAACAAGAGGAAAGGACAAAAACTGCATCACTTTCAAACTAACAAGAGAAAAAAATCTATAAACTCAACATCCCTTTTATAAATTTTAATAGGTGTAAATGAGAGTTATGATTCAGTTCTATTAGTAAAGCGTCAGATCAAATCAAACATCTCAGAAGTACAAAGTATATGGGATTTAAACTGGAAAAAGACAACAAGATCTGATCTTAAATATCCTGCAAATGTATCAGGCATGATTTAAATAAGTTATTTTATTATTTTATGCTATTTATAGTCAAGTCAAGTCAAAAATGATTTCTATAGCATGTTTAAAAGCAGAGTTGCACCAAAGTGCTGTACAGAAAATGCATTAAGCATATACAAAATACAAACAATTAAATAGAATTAAAAAAACTTAAATATAAAAAATCATTAAGTATATATATTATATTATATAGTATTAAATATACATTATATATATTTATATATCATCATAGTACTAATTAATAAATTAGATTATAATTAACTTATATTTTTTGCTATGATATTAATTTTAGTTTTAGTCCTGTAATTTTTTTATATGTATATTTAATGATTCATTTTTCATTTTAGTAATTTTAGTACACATTTATTTTGGTTAGTTATCAAGGTAATTAAGTTGGCAGCATCCAGTTAAGTTGATCTAATATTTATAATATTCTATTTTATTTCAGCTTTATTTCATGTACCCAAAAAATGAATAGTTTTATTTTTAGTTTACAATAACAACCCTGGTACAGTATGTGTACATTTAGAGATAACAAAAATGTGAACGGGTAATAACGTTCTCATAGTTGATTTCCCATTGTAGCACCCATTTAAGATGAACAAATGTGATATTACACTCAAATACACACATACAAACAGCAGTATTGACATACTGAGCACACATGCTCTCACCGTCACTGTTGAAGAGTGCTACTCTGGTGTGGTCGTAGGCGATGACGTTGGCGTATCTGTTCTTTGGCTTGTTTATCTCAAGGTTAGAATGTTCCCATGAGAACTGCTGCCCGGGATCAATAGACTACAAGAGAGAAGCGTGTCATGAATTACACCTCACACTGGACTTGCCTGTACTGTACTTCACGTTACAAACATCACATGGCCTGTGCAATGAAATTAGCGCTCACACAAAAAAAGTACTCAAAGGAACTCAAAGCATGTTATAGTATGCTAAAAATGTGGTGCTAATGTGAGCTCTGACCTCATACTCTTGAGAGAACCTCAGGTTGTCATTGGCTTTCATCCTTTCTATGTGAGCTGGCAGTTCTGAGAAGGACACTGGAGGGTGGCTGGTCATGCCTGTCAATCACATCCCACAAACACACCAGTTCAGACCCTGAGAACACGGCACACTACTGGACTGAGCGCTCTGAGCAGTGTGAGAGAATGTTAGTGATCTCATCTACAGGTGTATCTCAATAAATTAGAATGTCGTGGAAAAGTTCATTTATTTCAGTAATTCAACTCAAATTGTGAAACTCGTGTATTAAAATAAATTCAATGCACACAGACTGAAGTAGTTTAAGTCTTTGGTTCTTGTGATGATTTTGGCTCACATTTATCAAAAACCCACCAATTCACTATCTCAACAAATTAGAATATGGTGACATGCCAATCAGCTAATCAACTCAAAACACCTGCAAAGGTTTCCTGAGCCTTCAAAATGGTCTCTCAATTTGGTTCACTAGGCTACACAATCATGGGGAACACTGCTGATCTGACAGTTGTCCAGAAGACAATCATTGACACCCTTCACAAGGAGGGTAAGCCGCAAACATTCATTGCCAAAGAAGCTGGCTGTTCACAGAGTGCTGTATCCAAGCATGTTAACAGAAAGTTGAGTGGAAGGAAAAAGTGTGGAAGAAAAAGATGCACAACCAACCGAGAGAACCGCAGCCTTATGAGGATTGTCAAGCAAAATCGATTCAAGAATTTGAGTGAACTTCACAAGGAATGGACTGAGGCTGGGGTCAAGGCATCAAGAGCCACCACACACAAACGTGTCAAGGAATTTGGCTACAGTTGTCATATTCCTCTTGTTAAGCCACTCCTGAACCACAAACAACGTCAGAGGCGTCTTACCTGGGCTAAGGAGAAAAAGAACTGGACTGTTGCCCAGTGGTCCAAAGTCCTCCTTTCAGATGAGAGCAAGTTTTGTATTTAATTTGGAAACCAAGGTCCTAGAGTCTGGAGGAAGGGTGGAGAAGCTCATAGCCCAAGTTGCTTGAAGTCCAGTGTTAAGTTTCCACAGTCTGTGATGATTTGGGGTGCAATGTCATCTGCTGGTGTTGGTCCATTGTGTTTTTTGAAAACCAAAGTCACTGAAATTTTGGAGCACTTCATGCTTCCTTCTGCTGACCAGCTTTTTGAAGATGCTGATTTCATTTTCCAGCAGGAATTGTCACCTGCCCACACTGCCAAAAGCACCAAAAGCTGATTAAATGAGCATGGTGTTGGTGTGCTTGACTGGCCAGCAAACTCACCAGACCTGAACCCCATAGAGAATCTATGGGGTATTGTCAAGAGGAAAATGAGAAACAAGAGACCAAAAAATGCAGATGAGCTGAAGGCCACTGTCAAAGAAACCTGGGCTTCCATACCACCTCAGCAGTGCCACAAACTGATCACCTCCATGCCACGCCGAATTGAGGCAGTAATTAAAGCAAAAGGAGCCCCTACCATGTATTGAGTACATGTACAGTAAATGAACATACTTTCCAGAAGGCCAACAATTCACTAAAAATGTTTTTTTATTGGTCTTATGAAGTATTCTAATTTGGTGAGATAGTGAATTGGTGGGTTTTTGTTAAATGTGAGCCAAAATCATCACAATTAAAAGAACCAAAGACTTAAACTACTTCAGTCTGTGTGCATAGAATTTATTTAATTCACGAGTTTCACAATTTGAGTTGAATTACTGAAATAAATGAACTTTTCCACGACATTCTAATTTATTGAGATGCACCTGTATGTTTTAGCACTAGCGGTCATGAGTGTATATGTTTTTTGGGAGAAAACTGCTAAAAGAAGTTAACCCTGTAAAGCCTGATATATAAAAATATATCATTTAAAATTGTTTTTAATGGAAAAGTTTATTCGCCAATAAAAACAAAATCTAAAATGTATTATGAAATAAGAGAAATTGAAGATCATACTCGAGAGGGGGAAAAACAGTTTTATTCAGAGGCCCAAACTGTGCATAAATATGCAATTTGGTGCAGTTGCTGATATTTAAATGGCCAAAAGTAAGACTCAATTCTAGTTTGTAATGTAAATCAATGAGATCTTTATAACAGTAAAGCAGACTACTTACATAAAATGCATATAAATATCAGTCTATACCTCCAAATAAATGATGTCTTATTAAGATGATATTTAAATGCTTAGTTTTATGATCAAAGCTCTGTAGTTTTTGGGGTTATAGTTGTGGAATGCAAAACATATTATGGAACACACAATATTTAATACTCACATTTTAACATGATTTTTCTAAAAACAAAAAAAAACTAAAACAAAATGATAGTGGATAATCAAGTAAACCTAAGCTGCTTCAGTCCAGTAAGTGTCCATCTTGAACTGTTACTATATAAAAGTTCTTCTCACGTTTACTTAATTAATTAAAATAAGTAAAGATTTCGCAGCAGAAAGACGCATGTACCATGACCCGAAGTGGAAAGTTTTTCACTTTTGATCACGCTGATAATTTAGAGGCCTTAGAAATGTATGCATCAAATATGATACAGTAGAAAGTGGACTTTACAGGGTTGAATCTGATGAAACACCATGTTAGGCTGCTTTCAAAAGTGAAAAGTGTTCATAAAAGGCATAATGTTATTTTATTTTAAAAATATTATTTTAGGGGTAGTTTGTAGTGCAGTTGTTTGTATCCAGCTAGCAACAGTCATTAATTCACAACAGGCACTCCTTCAGTCATTTTCTAAATGTAATAATATTGATGGTTTGGATGGCTAGTGGACAGTTATATATATTTAATATTTTATACAATTATTGTCCACACAAATAATAACTGAACAGTAATAATTTAAAGCTCACAAAATGTAAGCTTGTCAGTTATTTTTTTAAATAACAAATGATACACTAGGCATCTATAAACTAAAACAAAAGTTTTATTTAAATAGAAAAGTTTAGACTATATTCTGGTGAATAGTTTTAGGTCATTGAAAATGCATGTACAGTTTTACCTACTCAGCAGAAAAGAATATACACAAATGTTATATTTGATTAAGTAAACAGCCTCACAGAAAACTTTATTACAATTATTTCATGATATGTGATTTATTTATTTTTTTGATTGTGGGAGGGGACTGGTCTCCACCCAGACAGATATTCACATCCCACTCTAAAATCTCTAGAAATAAAATCTGAACTACACTGAATGAGCGCAATGGAAGGGTATAGATTACAAGACAGTCTGAAGTATTAGACAAGATGAAATAAACAACGAAACAGCTGAATCAGATCAAATTATACTTAAAGCAGAAATCAATATTGCTGCATTTAGAATATCACTGAGAAGAGTTCATTTCATGTCTGCAATAGTTGCCTTACAACAAAGTCAAGATCAACATTGATTCAACACTGAATTACTGTAATCTTTAATGTAGCTGGCTTTATTAAAAAATATCTCTGGCTAGCTATAATTGTGTGCACGTCTGTGTGTGTAGATCGGTTTTTGCCGTTACTGTGGGGACTAAATATCCCCACAAGGATAGTAAAAACCTGAAATCAGCCAATGGTCCCCATGAGGAAACATCTTAATAAACACTAAACAATGACTTAATTAAAAAAAGCTAAAAATGCAGAAAGCTTGTGTGAGGGGTTAGAGGTTAGGGGATAGAAAATATCATTAGCTAAATATAAAACATATGAAGTCAGTGGAAAGTCCAACATATGATGGAAAGTGTGTGTGCATGAGTGTTTGCTGGTTACTGAAAGCCAAAGCAGTTACTGCATATGTGTTAATGGCAGTTAAGCAGTCAGTATAGACTCCAAAAACCACAACTAACTTGATAACCGTCGATAACCGATGATAGATGCACGCAAACCTAGAAAAGAGACAACACTGTGTTGATACAGACAGTGTGTGTGCATCAAAGGGGGACTGAAAGCTGATTCTTCAGCACTCTGTACCTGTGTGTGAGTGTGTTTGTGACATGTCTTTTCATCAGCATATTACCAGCCGTTGGGAAGTTGATTCTACGGAGCTCCACTGGGTCAGATGGATGCTGGGAACTCATGGCTTTACTGCTGCTGGGAAAGCTGCACTTCCTGCCCTCCAGCTCTGCCCGCTTCCTGTAACATCACACGCGCAGGAGCATTAAAGCAACACTCACTTAGCAGGAAATAGTTTCTATTGCATTTCGGTCATAATTAGATTTAGAGAGAAACATAATACACAGACCTGTCTGGTTTGCTGGTTTGTGCACGGATAAAGCGAGGGAAGAAAAAAGAATTAGGGATAAATAAAATCAGCTTCTGCTGAAGTAAAATATAAAGCATCTATCATTTTCATTCCTTTGCTTATTACCCTCTCATTCCTTTCCATTTTCATTCAAATGAGTGAATCGTGAATCGAGATTCATTTAAAAGGGCCGACTCGAATGAATGATTCACTCACAAACACTCGGTTTTAAGTTTACACAAGCAATAGCTAGGAGATACAGCAATTCTTGGTTTTCAGAAAAACGTAGAGCAGAGCATAATTAGAAAAATGTATGTTCACCAAAGATCTATGATTTTTCCATTTTAAATGTTTAAATTCCCATGAATGTCATCAAATTCTCAATCACTCTTCTGCTCAATTCTCTTTCTCTCTCACCTTTTAAAGAGGAGGATGAGGATGACAATGCTAATAATGAAGATGACGGCCAGCACTGGGCCCACCACCCACAGAAGCCCCTCCTCCTCGTCTACGATTGGCTGCGGCTCAACATCGGAGAACAGCACGGCATCAGAGAATGGACTCGTGGAGTACAAGGTCTGTCAATCAAAGATCGAATAGACACATAGCTATATAATATTTCACATTTTAAAAAATATATAAAAAATTACATGTAATATACATTTTTAAATATTTAAAAATAATTTTTATATAAAAGTAAAAAGTATCTTTTTTTTTTTTTTTCAAAAAATGCGTTTAAAGTTTTGCCCCCACATTTTGAGACATTCACCCCTTTAAAAATAATCAGTATATCACAATTTGAGAAAGGATGCTCACACAATGATGAAATTATTTAACACAGTAAACCTAATCACTTCATTATCATAATGGACCCCAAAATACTCCAACATGAGAGAGAAAAGAGAGACTTACGTTCTGGCCCAGTTCAAGAATAGCCAGCACGAAGCACACACACTCCTGTCCATTTACAAGTGGTCGGTTCATGAATGCTCCATACACACGTCCGTCTCCTAGTTTGAATTCAGCTGGAAGATTCTGCAAATAAGCACTGATGTACGGTTTTGCCTCCACCTGCCTCCGCAGACGCACAGAGTGACCGGTGCCATTAATCTCCCTCAGCAGCTGGAGAAAACAGAAAACAGGAGTTAATCACAACAGACACTGCAACTCCCCTCTGCTGAACCAACATGTGCTTTAAGTTTTCAACGGCTTTTTCAGTAATGATAGTGAACGACTTGATCAAAATTGTACAAACTATTGAAATGACAATGTCAGCATCTGATTACAAAAATGTATTACCTCATCAATGTTCATCTCATCTGGATCACTCCATAAATTCTGGAAGTTTCCTCCTCTCTGCCTCTTCAGAGGGACAACCACAATGTAGAAACCCCTTCCAAAAAAAAAAAACGCATGATATTATATTATTATGGGTGAAAGAAAAGTCTGGGTTATTTAAAAAAAAAAAAAAAAAGTTTTTATAAAGACCATTAAATATTTTTGCATTGTGAAATTATGAAATTTTCACAAAAATCATCAATGAAAATATTTTGTGTGTGTGTGTGTGTGTGTGTGTGTGTGTGTGTGTGTGTGTGTGTGTGTGTGTGTGTGTGTGT